GCTACTCCTTTGCGACGTCACGGATGATGTCGCGAAGGCCGGGGATGCTAGGGCTGATGTTGTAGCCCGATGCAGAAGCAGCACCGACGCTCGAGTGTCGATGGTAGTGGCTTGCTCTCGCGAGGAGGGCACGTTCCATATTCGTGGCCTCCGTGACGAAATCTTCGACGGTGGATGAGGGGTTGCGAACAAGACCATCGAAGATGTCATCCTTCACACCTCGCATCAGGATCCGCAACTTTTTTTCGTCGGTGGCTTGAGGGTCGGCGCGAGCGACCAGGCGCGGAACATCCTCGACGAAACTGGTGATAGTCTCGTTTGTGCCCTGGGTCCTCATTCGAAGACGGTCCTCGGCCCTCTCCCGTCGATATTGGTTGGTGAATGTTTGTCTTAGCGCATCCTTGCAGGAGCTCCACGAGACCAAGGAAGTCTCGCGATTCTCGAACCAGTGCCTGGCCGTCCCTTCGAGCGCGAGGTAAAGATTCTGCAGGCTCTGTTCGTCCGTGCATCGGTTGTCCTGGGCCACTCGCTCGTGCTGCGGTAGCCAGTCTTCGATGTCCTCATAAAGCTCACCATGGAAGGACGTGGGCGTACGGGCAGTGACGGGTAGGACAACGACGGGTGGAGTGGTCATCGTCGCGGCCTTTTTGCTTGGTTTCTGTGGCAGGGGTCCGAGTTCCGGGGGTAGGCTTTGGTTACGGCGACTTGACCGGGCCTTGGTCTGGTCTTCTGCGAAGGGTAGCCCTTGGGGCTGAGCACGTCACTTGGCCGGGATATCTTTGTAGGTGTACACTTCACGGGCATTTTGGTGGAGGTGCGTTACCCCGCACCTCCACCAAAATGTCACGAATGACAAGTGATGAGGCTATAATAACTGAAGAAACTAAACGTTTAATGGGGCGAACTTGTGCCCAAAAATAAAAAGGGATCAGAAAAAAACAGAGCATCGCGGGCGTTGAAGTCGGCGTGACAGCAGAGTCGAACGCAGGGGCGAAACTGGCTCCGGCTTGCCACGCGGAGCCTCTTTTGTACACGCGTGGGCTTCTGGAACAATCGGCGTGTAAGATTCGTGTGTCAAACATTCTAACCTCGAATCAGCAACACGGTTCTCAAATTTACCCGAACATTACGGTAGAGTCAACAAAAATGCGTCTTCGCGGCCAGGAATCGAACCCTGGCCGCGAAGGCACGCGCGATAACTGTTAGGCCACGAGCGTGCTGCCTGCTTGGCCACCTGCGCGCGCGGCAATATAGTAAAGACGCTTAGGTATGTTACGATTTCCTTGTAATTTTAAATACGGATTTTAATTTAAATGAAGTTGTTGCGAAAGTTGTCAAAGCCTCCACAGAGGCATCAGGAGGTCTGAAGTTCACTTGGGAGATGCGAGATGACAAGCGCATCCAATATTTAGATCTTATAACCAATTTTTCTGGAGACTAATTTTGTTGGATGTATAAACCGCGGTCAAAGAAAAGCCTAGTTTTGTTTGACATTGCTCAGTCTAGGCTCATTAAGCTGGGAATCGCTATAACCTGCCCTCAGGCAGCATTCGCAAAAAGTTGAAATCACCAGATATCGACTAGCTTTGATATACAAAGAAAGCGGCTACGGAATGCAGGGTTCCCTTCATAGCTGATTTCTAGTGTCTGTAAAAGGCTGCTTCGAAAAACCAAACAAAACAGTCGACAAAACAGTAGTATCAGAAAAAAAAATAAAAAAAGAGTACACGTCATTTTGTATTTGCACCGAGTTTTACACAACATAAAAAAAAGATTGCCGGCAGATACAACGTTAGCATAGTATTTTCTGCGCCCTGCAAACTGTTTAAGATATGACCGATCATGACTAGAAAAAAAAATTCTGTGCTCCAAAAAGCGTGTAGGCCATTATACTGACTGTGTCACTAACGTCATCTATGAAATACCGTTCAGTTGCTGGAAAGTTTATATGGGACAAACGGGACGCTGTTTCAATGACAGGGCAAGAGAACACAAACTATCTGTCTGACCATAGTAAGCGTTGTGGCTGCAAACCGCTCTTAGAGTCAACAACGTTCTTCAAAAAAGCTACAGAAAAAAACAGAGCGGGATATTATATGTGCTTTCTTTATTAAAAAGAAGAATGACAAGTGCGTCGGCGCGCCATCTGTTAGCCGACTAGATAAAGAAGTGACTTATCTAGATAGGTGTCTGTAAAGTGTTTACTGGCTGCTGGACGTTTTCTTGATATGCAAAGGGCAGATGAGTTGTGCATATAAGTGTTGAACGGTCTTGCAATAAATCAGTTGAGAGTACCGCCTGTCCCTGTCGTTTGTGTTATCTCCTGTCGTCCCTGTCCTGTTTGCGCTTTTAAACCTTATACCTAACCAACAAATACTAGTTTTCCTTGACACTTAATAGAATAGAACAGCCCTCTTTGTCGACAACTTGCAATGTAAAGGTGCAGTGCAAAGCAGCAAGGTGCAACCTAGGAACAGGCATGCAGCAGCTACCGGTGCCTTCCATTCGCCCGATGGGTCGCCTGGTATTAAAACAAAAAAGATAGGTTGGGCCAGATCGAGATTTGAATATGTAGTAAGGCGCTGCTCTGTAAAATCCACAAAGCAAGCCCATTCTTCACCAGCATGTAAAGGTGCTGGTACCATTGAGTCTATTGCAACACAAGAACTGCAAAACAAGCTTCGTCCACAGAAAAATAACAACAATTATACAGAACGTTTACTACGTCGAGGAGCATCGGGCATTGGGCGGAGTTCCGTTTTTTTTAAGCACAAATTTATATATATATATATATATATATATATATATATATATATATATATATATATATATATATTCTCTTTAAGGGCGCTAGAAAGGTTTGCTTCTCCTGTGACGTCAGAAGAGTTTGAATTGAGTCCCCAAGTGACGCCATAACCTTTTTTTGGAAATTTGGGAGTCAGGCAGTTTTATATGACTTAGCTTGCAACAGACCATACGTAGTAAGTGATAGTCTAGATAATTGAGCAATAATGTTTCTGCTGTGCCAATTTTGTTTGAACTATCCGCAAAGTATCGTCAATTGTTGGTGCCTTATCTACTTTTCTGCCACATTCAAAGTGTGCGCGAAAGAAACAAAGAGGACGAGAAAGAAAAAGTGAAAGAAAAAATAAGTTAAGCATTGTGTATTTTTTTTTACATATAGGCTGCCCATTTGTTACTTCCCAAAGCTCTAATACGGCAATGCTCGATGTCGTAGGTGTCAGAGTGGTGAAGAATTGGACGAAACGGAAGGGGGAAGTGGCAACATCTTATCCATACCCCCGCGTTTGTCTTTTTAGCTCACTTTGAAAAATCAGCTTACTGTAACTTGTTACTTAGACACGCGTGGCAGGAGTTGGCCACGCGTTTCTGTCTAAATGTCCTTGTTACTTCTAGTTTCTATTCTTGGCTGATTTTACCGCTGGCACCAGTTTTCCCAAAGCTATTGTTGTCTTCCTCATATACGATCCTCAATTATCGTATTTTAAGAAGCCCAGCTCGTTTTTCATTTCCGCGTAAAGTTCAGAAACAAGAAAAAAGACACAACAAGGATTCGTTATCGAAGAGACAAAAGTCGTCATAGTTTGCCCCACGCTCAGTCGTTCTTAGAAGCGAACGACTATGACGTCAGGCAGCTACTGTATCTAGAACGTGTCCCCGACTTGTGTGTTTAACGTCCAATATCACCCATGTAACGAAATGTCCCCCCAAAGACCAAGAAATACGCCACAAAAGCCGACGAGAAACGCTCAGAAATACTCTCGATCATAGTGGTTGTTTGTAGAAGTGCCCTCGGGGAAGGCGAGTGGACGCAAATAACGCTGTGATTGCTGCACCGCTACCCGTGGCTGCTAGACTGTCCGTAGACTGGCAGTTAAAAAGCGAGTGAACTCTAAGAAAACGTCCGTGATTTAAGTTTTCTGCTCAAGACTGCGGCAGCCAATCATGGAAAACGATAGAAGGATTCCGGCTTAGATCAGAAACAAACGAGATGTGCTCCCTTTACCCCTCCCCCCCCCCCCCCCCCCCCCCTCCCCGCTCTCGTGGCCCGCCGCGACCTCCCTCCGCCCTTGTGACGCTACCGGTGCGCAGACACAGTAAACAAGTGAGACGCCAGGCCCATTGCGCCCGCGTCCATCGACTATTTTTTAAGTATTCGTATTGCATTTTAAGCTTTATTATTCGCTGGGTCATTCATGTGTTTACCGTGATTGGCCGTCTTCGTGTCCTGTAGGAAAGTGAATCAACCAACTTTTTGTATAGAGCGAATTGCTGCGGTAAAGCGGGCGTCTGACGTATTTACCTTCGCCAGGATCGAAACGATCACACTCTAAAAAATGTTTGTGCGTCTAGTTTCACGCAAAAAACTCGGAGAATCAGTCACCGCAACTTACGGAGGCAGCTCAGCGAATGACAATGCCGAAACATATGTTTAGACCGAAAGACGCAGTCTGAGTTGTGACATTAAGCAATGCAAAACGTCACGCTTGCATTGCTTAATGTCACAACTTAGACTGCGTTTTTTGGTCTAAACATATGTTTCGGCATTGTTATTCGCTGAGCTGCCTCCGTAAGTTGCGGTCGTTGGCTCTCCGAGTGTTGTGCGGGAAAGCAGACTCACGGGCTTTTTTTTAGAGTGCAGTATTCTTGAATCGTGACGCCACCAGGCAGATTTTGAGTGGATAACATAAAAAAGCAGTAATAAACACACAAGGCGCAGACGCGCGTTCCAGGCACTTTGATGTAATAAATTAATTTGGCAGCTGTCAGGTTTGTTTTGCATTATAATAATAACGTACTAAAATACTAAGAGAGAGCTGAGAGCTGAAGGACATCTTGCTCTATCTTAAGAGCGAGCGAGCTGGAGATTATAAAGAATTTGAATTCGAACGGGGCAGACTAGTCGCGGCGAATGGAAGGCGCCGGGCTCGTAAGGGTGTTTGGCGAAAGCAAGCCGTTACCTGGTTGAGCAGGCTCACCTTCTCCATCTTGGAAAGGTGGAGAGCGTACGTGTCGAAGGCCCGGAACTGCATGAAGCGCATGTTGCTGCTCTGGCCCAGCTCCGTGATGATGCGCACGCTCGGGAAGAATCTAGGACGGGCAAACAAAATTTCCGCTACCTCGATCATGCCGACAAAAGCCCGGGAGCACAGAACGCGCTATGAACGAGCTGGGCACGTGCACGTGTGACATCATGGTGATGTAATGATTTCGCGTTTGGGAACGGCGGCCGCCCCCCCCCCCCCCCCCCCCCCCCCCCGCCTCCGCTTGGATCCGGCCCTGGTTGTTGCTGCCCGCGCGCTTACTTGAACATGGTCTGTACTGCAACGATGGTGTTGCAGTCTGCGAGGTAGTCTTCCTCGGCAGAGTTGGAGGACTCCTTGTTGACGACCACTACGCTGTCTGCCAAGTTGATGCCCGCTCGCAGCAGGTCGTCCAGGCTGCGCCATATAATGATACGCCTCAGATTCGATAATATAAACAGGCACGCACGTGTGCGGCCGCCAAAGACATGTTGAGTTATTGATAGAACGGTAAATGTCACTCAGAAAGCCAGAGCTCCCCATCTTTGTTGGGAAGATAAAAGAAGATCGCTGCTCTCAAGAATACGTTATCGTTGTTGAATATTGAGCTGCTGTATACGCGACGAAAGTTGTCTGGCTGAAAATATTCTACTCCCCTACGAACAAGCAGACTGGAATTGGTCCTTCCTCGTATTTGCAGTCCTCCCCCCCTCCAAGCGCTCCGTCAAAACAAACGACTCGCCAGAAATGCGGGCCTTTCGATCGACTTTTAATGTGTTTAAATGTTTTGTTTTTCTACAGCAAGTTTTGTAACCCGAACCAAGTATCGTACGAGATTTTTTCAATGTTCAATGGTTGACCAATCTTCTGTTACATACTCTTCCTAATTGAACTTATGGATAGTCTTCATGATTAATGCGTGTCTCTTATTAAAAGGACGTTCCTATAGCGTTCCACACGATTATTGATTGCATGGTGTTATGGTACTGCAATGTAGTTTCTACTTTTTTTTTTGCGTTTTAGCAGTGTTGGAATTAGAGAGTATGGCTATGGTTAAATTTGTGTATTGACGTAATTCTTCGTCACTTTTTGCATTTTTTTTTTGTTTCGAGGCTTGAGGGTCAGTATTTTTGCGTGTGGACATTTTTTTTTTACAAATTATTTATTTATTTAAAATATTTTTGAATAGGATTTGTCTCCGTTTTTGGCATATCTATTTATCAGCACTATTCTAACAAAATTGTTCTTCTTGCTTATTGTTATCGACCCTCCATACTTAGGCCTATGACGGCTTGCAGTACATTTTAAATAAATAAAACGAATGAAGTCTATGTGACGCCTAACCGCTGGCGCTGGAGCCATTGCAACTTGGAGAAAGCGCTTGCCGATTGAATTACAGGCTTTCTCAATCTACCGTAACACGAACGATAATGCTGAAGCCGTCTACTACGCCTAATAAGGCCGTTCAATAGTTTGTGTTTTGTGAAAAGTCTAAAAGAAAAAAAAAGGAGCTGAACTTAAATTGGACGAATTTTCATGGCTATCTGGATAGAACGAGAAGAAAACGAGAAAATCTGTGTCTCACTTAATATCCGCACCACTCGCCTATGTATTTAACGCCGTTTTAAGCGAAGGAATTTTTCCAGACAGAATGAAAATAGCTAGGGATGGCGTTTTGCATAAAGGATGAGCGATAAACAACTTGGGTAATTCCCGACCTACAACGGTCTCACCTATGTTTTCTACACTTTTGGAAAACGCTTATATTCACGAGACTCAGTCACTTTCTTAGTGCAAATAATTTAATTGCAAGTCAACAAATAGGTCTCAAAAGAACAAATGAACGGAAATGGCTTTGTTGCATGTAAAAAAATGAAATTGTTAATAATATAAAAAAAACGTTTTTCACAGTCAGTGTTCTTAGATTTAAGCATGGCATTTGATTTCCTAAAGGACGATATTCTGTTAACAAAATTTCCAATGTATGGAATCAGAGGCACTGCATTGACACTGATTCGTAGTTACTTATCAACACGTGCTCAATATACGTTCATAAATGGCATGCGTTCTCAGCTTGAAACAATTACTTACAATATACCACAAGGAACTATTCTTGGTCAATTGTTATTTCTATTGTATATCCCATACAAAAATGTCCTATGGTCAGCTAAAGAAAATTCTTTGCATGGTCGGCTTTAGCTATTTGGCCCAATTAACTAAAGAACTCTCTATGGCTGCCTTTATCATTTTTATGGTCACCTTTATGGGCCTCTTTAGCTTTGTTTATGACCCTATCGCTTCCAGCCATAGCGCCCTTTAGCTTTTCTAATGGTTGGCTAAAGACATTTCAATGGCTTACCCTATGGCTCTCTTTAGCCAGCAAACTCTAAAAACAATTTTGCTTCAAGTTTCCCCGACTTGTGAACGCTACATGGTAGGTTTACATACACCTCTGAACACACAGAATGCACAGAACACAAGCAGAACACTACTCCGCACAACAGCAATAACGCAGCGACACCGCACCCCCACCCTTTTCTTGATATCCTATGTTCGCACTAGCTGTATATATGGCAGTCGAATTTTAGAATCCGACTTTGCCGGTGACCCATCATTTGTCGCAAAGACACGGAGAGCTGGAGCAAATATTGCTCGTACTGAATGCATTATTTGAATTGCCTCTTGGATTAGCCCCCATCTCTTAATTCAGCACCCTGTGCAAAGAAAATGTAGATCATTAGGCTATTTAACTAAACCCTATTAATTATCTCTTTTAATAAGTTTGATGAATCGTGTTGACAATGAAGTGTTGAAATGCAGTACACTGGTGGTGAACATTGCAATCAAGCTATTGCTTAATTGCAGTGTAATCTATTTTCAGTTTTGGTGGGATAATAATTAATTTTAATTGTTGCACAAGTATTTCAATGGACTTTTCAAGCAAACAATATTACTGGTTTTCAAGACTCGTTGCAACAGCAGCGAACATAATTTGGGTCCTGCTTTGTCACCGGTATTACATAAATTTAGTATTGCTTTAATTTTCTAACCTGGAACGTTTTTCCTATAGAAAGGAAGTGCTGGGAGTGATAAAGATAATGACTGGTATCACCGCAGACGACTACAATGAGACAGCTAGTCTCCGGTGATATAATGCGACCGCTTAAAAACATCAAGTTGCCCAAGTCAGAAAGTTCAAAAGCCCGTGTTGACAGTGTTAGTAGATCGTTTAGCAGACCGACGCTGCCGCCACGAGCACGGTGGAGGAATTTTCAGACTCGTTGCCATAAAAGTTTTATTGGACGGGTAAAGAAAATTTATTTGTTTCCAGTTTTTAGACTCGGCGCCATAAAACTTTTCTATAGGCGGGTAAACAAGATTTATTGCTTCGCAGTCTTTAGACTCCATAGAATTTTCTATAAGCGGATAAAGAAAATTTATTGGTTCCCAGTTTTTAGGCACAGGACCACAGGTTTTCCTATAGCTGGCTGTAGCTGTATTTATGGATTTCTGTGGCCGACCATAGAAGACCGTAGGGGGTGATAGCTTGCCATAGAATTTTCCATAGACGACCATAGACCATTTTTGTATAGGATAAATAACAACGTAAATCAGCGAAATACACAATATATTATTTGGTACGCAAATGAGACGAATAATTTTTTTATTCAAACTTAATGAAGATAGAAACTATGTCAAACACGTGGTTAAATAACTTATCACTATGGTTACAGTCCAACAAACTTCAGTTGAACACTGGCAAGACAAAATATATTATTATAAGCCTAAAATAAACCTATTAACTATCAAATAAACGTACAATTTAAAAACACAATTATAGAGAACATTAGGTGGCATACATTTCTTGGTATTTGTTTCGATGAAAGTTTAACTTGGTCTAGACACGTGAAACACCTTCGTTCAAAGATTTCCCAATCTATCGGCACTTTGCGTAGAGTTAGGCTGCTCCTGCCTTGTTGGGTAAAATGCCAGTTATATTATGCATTGTTACGCTCCCATCTTAACTAATGTTTATTAATTTTGGGTACGACAACAGCAACTAAACTTGACAAGTTTCTAATCCTGCAGAAGAAAGCTATTCAGTGCATAGGTAATCTAGATAGTTACGCCATACTGTTGCTCCTTTTCTGAAATACAATATTCTTTCAATCCAACAACATTATTACTTGAGAGTGGCTCTAGAAATTTACACCAAATGTCAAAAACAGCGAGTCTCTATTTCTAGAAAATTACCCACAAAAAACCACAACCTATAACTTGCGTCATGAAAAATATGTTCAAGAAAAAATTCGCACAAATTATGGGTCTCAACTTTTGAGTTACAGAATTCCTAAATTTTTAAATAGATTCCCAGAAACGGTAGATATTATTACCAACTGTCAATCGCCTCGAAATTAAAAAAAAGAATAAGGCTTTGCATATTAGGTCCTCAGCAATAATACGTCTCCCACCATAATCCTTCTAATCCTTCCTTCCTTTTTCTTTTCGTTTTTCCTTTGTTTTGTGTAATTTATAACACACATATCATCTCACTTTATGTTCAGATCTCTCTCTCTTTCTCTCTCTCTCTCTATATATATATATTAATTTGACAATAAGCCAATGTTACAAATGCACCATTTGCTGCATGTCTGTAATTATATATATTGTTGCTCTGCAGCTGTAGCGTTGTAACGGGGACTGGAGCCTTGTCAGTCGGCTTTGGTCGCCTTTTGCTCCAGCTGCCCATACTTCTGGTTTAAATAAATAAATAAATAAAGCCAAATAAGTCTGCGGCTTTTGATGTTCCTTCTAGAATTCTCCATCTTGGAAAACTAGGTCAATTATTTCATAATTTTGTCCCCCAGTTCTTTTCTATGCACTATAAACGCGAAAAGACAATCATAGGTTAGCCACATTAATATTGTAGTCAAATATTTTTCAAGATTTACGAATGGATTTTTACCCGGAAAATTTCTGGTATAGCCATAGCGGCACCAATAGTGTGAAATGATTTAGACTGAATTGTCTGGTTTAAGAAAAGCTTGTATTAGCTATCGAATTAACTTTTTTTATATATTTTAAAAGAGAAAGTTTTTGCGTAAAACCAATTGTACGTTTGACCAAATTTACAACTTTTGTTCCATGAAGTTTAATGTAAATCAAATTCAAAGAGATTTAATTTTCGGTTTGGGATAGGTCAAGTGTGCGGTCTTCAAGGGAACGTTTCTTTAAACATCGGTAACATATCTTTTTATACGGCAGGTGGTATAGTAAATAAAGAAAGTGTTGAAATAGAACCTGTGTCACACCACGACACACCTCAAAATAATTTTAGAAAATCTTGTTTTAAATGACATTGCCATGTTTTATATACTGGCTGCTAAAATTACCATGTCGCATAAAAAAACTTTGTTACTTATTAGTTTTTTTTGTCTTTATACTATGTAACATCGTAATTTTATCACGCCTGCGTTTGAAACAGGAGAAATGACGAAGTGTAGTTTTGCTCCCAGTTCCATTTCCACAATGACGTGAATATTAAGAATTAATGCGGCATAACTTGACTCACTCGTCTATGGAGCCCTGCATCCAGTAGACCAAAGGAAAACAGGAGATGGCATCAAGGAAGGCAGCATGGGGTCTGTGTCAAAAAGAAAATTACATTTGAACCAATTTCATCCACAAAACGATACAGGCTGACTGTTGGGCGAGTTGGTATTGTGCATTAGAAAACATGATTGCCCTTTAAGACAAAACAAGAAAAGTGGAAGAACAGACAACACAGAGTGCTACAACAGAACAGGCAACACAGAGCGATACAGGGTTTCTATTTTTTGGTAACATGCGTGTACACATTAGTACGGCGCCTAGATACTGATCCCAACTGGGGTGTTTAGCGTCCTACAACGCCCACGCATTGGAATGCACCCAAGATGACGAGACTACGCCACAAGAGCAGCCGCGGAATGCTGCAGGTAATCGCGATCCTAGCGGTTGGATGTAGAAGTGTGGGCGAGGAACGTCGAGTGGACGCACACGAGTCGCTCCCGTCGCAACGTCCCAGTAGAGAACCCACATTTAAAACAGGGAGCAACTCAAACCACGGAGAGCGTTCGCAATTTAATGGCGAACGCATCCTGCGCAGGCTGATTGCTCATGCGCATGCCCGCGTTACCTTGTACCAAAGAGGGCAGCGTTCAAAAGTGCCGAGGAAAGCTTGGGGACACTCCGAAGACCCCCGATAGACGCTTTCGTCTCCTCTTCACGCCCTGTTTCGCAAACGCAGATCAGTGTGGAGAGCAAGTCGTCCGCTTTTTGCGCAGGAGTTGCGGTGACGTCAGAAAGACGCCGAGCGGCGAGCTCTGATTGGCTTTGATTGAAAGGATAGTGTATTGACCTGAATGCTAGGAGGGGATCCACTAATGATGACGTCATGCGCCGGCCTTGTCTTCTAGGTGATATTGGCTACAACCGTTACAACCGAACAGGCGACAGCCGTCTCCACCTAAAAACCGCTGAGCCGCCAGCAGGATCGCGACGTTCTTTAGCCTTCCAGCACTGCAGACTCGTGACGTCATCAGGCAGGTATTGAGGGGTCAGCATAAGGACGCGGTGCGCGGAGCGGTAGAAGACGCGTTCTAGGCAGCAGTAGGGAATGGCGAAGGAAGAGCAGCGAGCGGCCTCGTGTTTCACCTCCGTTCCAGCAGAAGCACGATGGGTCTGAGGCTGGTGGGGCTGTGGAAGTGCGCCCGGAGAGGCACTATGAAGTTGTAGATGCCCTTGCTGGCGAAGTCGGCCGCCAGGATGACGCACCGATTCGGCCAGTTGTACTGCTTGGCGTTGTGGAACTCGCAGTGGTCGCATTGCTGGAGGAGCCGGTAGAGTGCAAGAAACAGGCGGCAAGTTAGAAGAGTGGAACGTCGATAGGTAGAAGCCCTGTGACATTTTTGCCTATTGAAATATCAATGCGTTGACATGTAGCTGGTATTTTCTGAATGCCGGTTCGTGATTCTAGTTTTTAACATAAAAATGCATAGCAAATTGCTGGGCAATTATGTTGCACGGGACACGTCCGACGTCTACGCTGTCAACCCTCTTATTGGTTAGTTGGGCTTAGCGACTAGCTAAACGCGTGGCATGTACACTCGATAGAATTTCCCGGAATGGAGCAGCCGGCCCTCACCCGGGTTTTAAAAAGAAGTAACAGGGTGTTAAGATGCTGTCTACCGCACGCGAGGCGGATGCCTCGCACGGCTTTCCCGTCAAATAGCAGCTCAACTCACGCCGATATGTCATAACAAGCATTAAGAAAAAAGTGTCGTAGGGTTGCTGAAAAGACACTCACTTAGTAGTCTAAATTGTTAGGTTCGATTCTCGTGTGGTGCAAACGCGTTTTTACTACGATCATCTCTTCCCCCCACTTGTAACCAACCGGTGTCAAGCCTTGCGGCCACGCTTTTATCCAGGCTTCATGAACTGCCGGACACTTAGGCAATAAACATTTCACGTTAAACATTAAAAGAAAAACGTCTATTAGCGTGTTTTTATTAATTGCGGTTATATTTAGTTAAAAGTACAATACTGATGAACAAACTACTGTTTAGTTTTCTAAAAAAAAAATACCGTGTGATACGGTACTCAACGTCAGACTGTCGTTCTTACCTCTCACATACGGTGTACTAATTGAGGAAAATATTTTTGCAACATAAAACCTTTTTTTTTTAAATTTGATTGAACAGGTGTTAGAAAAACATAAAATAGAAGTTACTAATATTTCTGTTAAATCATTTTATAAGGACCGGATTCAAGTGCCAAAACCATGTATCCTGCTTTAGTTAACTACAATCAAGCACGTCTTTCTAACCGCGTGCGAAATCTTATACGGATATAGACATCGTTCACAAGAGTTCCTTGAATCAGTTGTTTGCAAATTTGTTTGAAAAGTTAATATAGTATTTTTAAAGATAATTTATTACGAAAAAGAAAAGCGAGCAAAATAAAACGCCTCCTTGTGTTGAATTTATTTAAAACTAGACATTTTACATGTTCAGCTCATTTTAATGATTAATGCATTATCTTACGGTCTTGTGCGGCCTAAAACATTCGCTATGAGCGGTTCAAAGCTTCAAACAACGGCAAGGCGATAGCTTACCTGAGCAAGCTGCATGCAACAGAGCGGTTTCTTGTCTCTCAGAAGGTAGCATAGCTTGGGGCTCACTCCAATGTAAGGCGTCACGGGAGGAAACCCCTTTACAATCCTGAAAAAAAAAAGAATCAGAAAGAAAACTATTTAGAAATAATATTTGCACGAAAGTATCGTTTGTACTTCGTGTAGGATATCGAAATTAAAACAGCAGGAACGGCATGAAAGGTGCTCAAGATATCACAGTGATACCTTGCCTTAAAAACGTATTTCACGAATAAAACGACTTTCATATTCTTCCTTATGAAGAAGAATTCTTTGTCAACCTTACATAAAAATGTTTATATTCGTGCAAGGGGATCTTTTATATACCCGAATATATAAAAACAATCTAGGTTAAAGGCGATTCGTAACGAATGCGCCACTGTTGATAGCAAGCAGATGGGAACGCGAACGTCGTCTGCTTCTGCTTTACGTATTCTTGTAATCCACAGTAATACCACCCAAAACCGCAGTAAAAAAAAAAAAGTATTTTATCTGCCTGTGACGTGGAGCGACATTCTTTCCTTATCAAAATCAGTTCTTTCTTGCTTCTAACTTTTCATTTAAAAGCAGTAAAATTTGAAGCGCCGGAATCTTACCCCGAAGAACAAGTCGTCTGCTTTTTGCGCAGGAGTTGCGGTGACGTCAGCACGATACTGAGCTCTGATTGGTTTTGATTGAAAAGATAGTGGGTAACCTCAATCCTAGATACCTTGATGTCTATCCACTACTGTTTATTCAATAAGCCAATAAGAGCTCGGCTTTCTGACATTATCGCAACCCCTGTGCTAGAAGCAGACGAACCTGCGCTCCGCATTGGTTCTCGGCAATGCATCGCTGGTTTGTGAGGTTTGTTCCTTCAGGAGTACCTTCATGAATAAACTTATCCCAACTAGTAACTTGAACATAAAAACACTTTTTGACTTTTTTTTTTTATTTCACCAAAAGCTTTTTTTTATTTCCAGTTATAAAACGGGCATGTGGGTTAGCGCCCCCGACAATGGCCTTGGCGGGTGACAAGGTTGATTTTATCGAGAGATGTGGAAAGTTTGTGCAAGCACGTCTGGACTTGCTGGTTTATCGGGTTAATTGTTTGGTTTCCATTTTCTGGTTTCTTTTTTACTTGTTTCGTGCGGGAACAAAAAAATTCAGCAGCGCTGTGTTTGTGAGCTTCTTCTTGTGTGCTTCGTTTCCCCTTCAGTCCGGAGCAGTCGACGCTACGAGCTGATGGATAAAATCTAACAGCGCCAAAAGTGCATCACCGTGGTAATTGTCATGTTTCCGTGTGTGTTCGATTACACTGAGCCAATCATAAACACAAAAAGGCCCAGTGACTCACGCTTTTGACGCTGTTTAATTGGCCCAATTAGACCGTAACGTCCGCTGCATCTGGATTTCAGCTGAAATGGAGTATAGTGTTCCGTCTTTTTTTGCGCGATATTTTTTACCCAAGCTATGCTAAACCAACCGGCCCAACTCCACGCCTTATTGAAAAAGGGTGTCCTTTTTTTCATTTTTTTTCCTTCCAAAGCCCTACATTTTTATATGAGACTTCCTTTTAAATATACACTTTCGCGGGTGTAGGCAAAGTCTGCGAAACAATAATGTATACACCAACTCAACTCTCTGACGCCACCCCACTGCGGTGGCGCTGCTGTCGCCACTGCGCATGCGCAGAAACTTCCTTTAGCTCATATCTGGTTTCTGCGCCCGTGCAGTGGCCACCTGTTGTGGGCGAACGCGTGGTGTTTGTGTCTACTCACTCGGACTCCTCGGCGGGCGTGTTCCAGGAGTTCTCGAGGTACTTCTCCTCCTCTATTCCCAGGGCGTCGTCCTCGCTGTCCAGCTGGGCGTCCTCGTTGTGGCCCAGGTCGGGCACCGGCGCGATGCTGGGCCTACGACCCCGGGTCTCCTCGGGACGGGGCACGTCCAGGTGCTGCTTGCGCCCCCGGAACTCGAACCGGGACTTGGTGCTGTCTGCGGCGCCCAGGACGCGAGAAGGTAAAGAAAAAGCTAAATGAGAGACAGGAAGGTAGCAATTCATCTAGTTCACAATCCTGATATACAAGGAAACAGCAAAAATGAATGCAGAACCAACTATGTTGTCTAATTATGCGATTAGCTGCAGAGAAATGAAAGAGCTGCGGGCCGTCACGTGTAAATTTTCCGGGCTAGGTAAACTGTATTTGTGTTTAGGTGAAGTGACATCAAGCCATGTGGCATCATATATGTCGTTAAATTAAACATTTAACTGAATTGGTGTTGATATCACGTTACATCAAGTCGTATGACGTCATTTTCTCCGCTAAATTTAGCGGGAAAATAAATTGGTATTGAAATGTGAAGTCAATTTTTGCCGCTAAATCTAGTGGGGAACCTAAATGTGCTTTGTCCGTGCACTTCTTTCACTTGTCCTTCGTTCAATTTTTTGCGCTGTTTTCACGTTTGACGATGTGTATAGATCGCGTGATATCACGTGACGCCATTTTCCACGCTAAATAAAGCTGGAAACTAAATTTGTGTATGCAAGCGCAAGTTCGTCTACTTCTTGAACGGGGTTTGCAACAATTTCACAACGCCGAGCTCTAATTGGCTGATTCAAAAACGTAGTGGGTAGACCGCAAGGAATCTAACAATGAGGTCTACCCACTCTCTTTTTAATCAAAGCCAATCAGACCTCGGCGTCCTTTTGACCTCACCTCACCTTTTGACCCGCGCAAGAAGCGGACGACTTGGTCTACGCATTGGTCCCGTGACATGAAGTCCGGTAACGTCATTTTATCCGCTAAATTTAGCGGGGAAACTGAATTTGTGTTGAGGTCACGTGATGTCAATTATCCCGCTAAACCTGGCGGGAAAACTGAAATTGTGTGTAGGTCATGCGACATCGTGTCCTGTGACGCCAGTTTTCCGGTTAAACCTGGCGGGAAAACTGAAATTGTGTATAGATCACGTGACATCAAGTCACGTGACGACATTTCCTTCGCTAAATTTAGCGGCTGAAAGTGGCCTGAAGATGTTCGGAAAGCTAATCGCTTTAAGTACACTATTTTTATCATGCTGACAATGTCTGGGGAGAACAGAATGTGTTCTGTATGAGCTGGACATATGCTATGTGTGCGACGTCACGTAATGTCATAAGATCGCATGACTATGACGTGACGCGACGTCACGTTACGTTACACTGTCACGTGACTTCTCGGTGTCACGTGACGTCGTGATGTCGCGGCTCTTCGCGACGATCCGTCGTGACGGTTCATCGTGACGATATTTTTCTGCCATTTGTTTTCATAAAAGTTGGCTGATAAAACGCTATCTGTGTTAAAAAAAATACATAGGCTCCCGCCAAACTCCTGCGAACGGACAATATACGTGTCTCGTGGCACCGCGACGTCACGTCACGCGGTCTTATCTAGCGACTTGGTAAACTCCCCGCTCGGCTCAGCGGCAAGTCTTCCCAGCTAAATATAGTTAAAAATTCCACTCTACATTTCGCGGAAAAAATAAACGCTCTCTCCGTGACGTTATTTTTTTGTTTTCATAATCAGTCTTTTTAGCCGATAGCCTACTCTATGTTTAAAAAAAAATAGACCAAAGGTTTCTTTCCACTATACTCGTATACAACTATCAGTGGAATTTCCAAAAGAAGAACGGAGCGTCTACAGCTTTATGCGGTGCTGTAGGTGGGCAACGGAATGCTTTCTCGCCCAGTATAAAGCCGTTGTATTTCGTCTTACCTTAAATCGGACCACAGTGGGTACTACGAGCCAAGTCAGGCAATCCAGCATCGATAGCCTATCACGGTACCAAGAGCTCTCGTCACGGTATACCCTTTGGGGTTGGATGTTTGCGATACACAAGGTCACGCGATGCACTTCTGGAACCACTTTTGTCCCGTAGCGCTCGCTCTAGTCAACTTTGGGCTAAGACACAGTACAATCCCAACGTAATCTACTTATAACGATGCCACATACAACGATGTACCGCTTATAACGATTAATTTCTAGAAGACTATGCGTTTTTGCGTTGGGTATCTAGTCTAGATACCACAATAATAGGTTCTAAAGACTTCATTTTCAGGGTTTCTCAATATTGTTATAAGTCAATTGCACTTTACTACAAGAGTGATGAAAAAAGAAGAAAACACTGCTCTCAGGAATGTCAATTGGCTTATTTCTGGCACCCGATTTAACTGGCTACAACAAAATATATTCTTCGACGGGTGGTATTGTGGAGGATTTGTAGCTTGAATAAAATAGCTGATGTTAGTCCTTTTCTGGACAAAACGGAATCGATGTTCGTTACACTAGTCTGACCTTGTCATACAGACGGCACCAGACATACTGGCAAGCAATTGACTTAGACTCACCCGAGTCATGTAAAAGAAGCGCCTTGGGAATTCAATATTTTAGTTATTAGCCCCTTTTATCGGTTTTCCTGGCTTTATGTTAGAACAAAGCGGAAATTATATCGTTAGTGTTTGTATCGTTTTGTTATTCAATGATTTTATCTAAGTACAGAGAAACAGCATCCTTGATGATGACGCGCTTGGTGAACAAGCAAAAAAAAAAGAAAAAAACTCGGAACTGCGCACAACAGAACATCATGGTAATGACTTACTAGGTTCTTATCAGATAGATGAAAAAAAAATTGAAGGGGTGGCCGCTGATAAGGAAAACCGGAAATCTTGCTTGAAAACAAAAAGTAAACACGGGCGTCCCGTAGATAGGCTTTCCCTCAGCGAAGGTGCGCTTGCAGAGAAAGCTACTTCTGGTACAAGCCATTATTGAGTGCAGTTTCTATCAGACTTGCGCCTATCTCAAATACTCTACGCAAGATACTGTATCTCAAATACTTTTTGAAGTATCTTAATATCTTGCAAATACTTTAGATCGAGAGTATTTGATACTCTATTTTAATTACATTTCTGACCATATTGTCTCATCATCTCAAATACATTTTTTACATTCCGCCATTTTCCGAGTTTTTCGGTATGAAATGGCGTGGGCGTGGCACGAGCAAACGTGAACATTCTTTCGAGCAACCGAATCCTGTTGCTAGCACCAATTAGCTACGGTGACTTTGATTGAGCTCGTGAAAAAGCATCGCTTTTTTTCCGATTGTAACTCATATTTTAGCCCAATGTTCGTACAATGAAGGTTTTCTCCTCGCCTTCCCAAAGGCGGCTTTTGTTTCCTATAGTTTCTCCGAAAAATCCTCAAACAGAAGGGGTGGTTTTACGGAAGTAAAAATTGCCCCAATCAGGGGCGCAACGCAGATCGGGAAACAACCTGTGACAAAATGCAGACCTGAGTGTCGAGAAAAAAAAAAAGAGAAGTGGACACACACACACACACACACACACACACACACGCACGCACAAAGAAGACGCGTTTGTTTTGCTTCTTGTATAGTTAACCCCACTACAGCAAAACGTGGAGGCTTTCTTTTGTTTATTTTCCTTTTGTCGTCAGTCCGTCACTTAGTGCTCTCGCAAACACTGTCTGTAAGCGAACATTGATAAGCAGAGAACAGGACAGGAAACGAATTAAAAGTTGAGTGATCTCTCGAAAATCCCAACAAATGCGCCCCCAACATTGAGTGCCTTTCTGTGCCTTTTTGAACGCAACCTACTTCAATAAGGTGCGACCACTGGTGTGTCTATTATGTGAGTTACCTTTGTTACCCCTTCACTCATATCCGTATCCCAAGTTCGTTTATAGTGAACTCCCTTGAGGTATAAGGAATATGGATTGTAGTTAAACGATGCGTTTAAGGTGCGCCGCAGCACGTGATATTCATCGATGTCACAATAGCTAAAGCGACCTCTTTATCCCTGTCCCAAAATTTTTTTGTAACATGTATCGGGGATATTGCTACGCACGTTACTGAGCGAGCGCGTGGCCTAATGTTTACCGCGCTTTGTTCTCGCGCGGAGCCTCCGGGTTCGATTCCAGGGAGCGGACTCCCCTTTTGTTTTATTCTTTCAACTTGACATTTTCGTAAGTTCGAGAGCCTTGTCATGTGATCGAGTTACGAATGTTCCACGCGCCGAACACTCTCCGACGAATGTTCCAGAAACCCACGCGGCGTGGCGGTCCGGAGTCAGTCTCGTCCCAGCACTCGATCCTGCAGTTTCGCCGACATCGACGCCTGCGGCGCTATCCTTTCTATATTTTGTTTTGGTTGCAGCTTCACCCCATTAAACGTTTAGTTTCTTCAATTATTTGCCGCCTCATTATTTGTCATTTGTGAAAACATCCTGCTCCTTATAGTTCCACTGCATAAAATAGCCCTACGAGGCTTTTTTTTTTTGCCATTTTGTGTTGTTACCGGCTATTACACCATTCTGGTAAACCAGATTTGCGCAACTGTATAATTGTCGTTGTCAGTGACGTCGACACAAATTACGCAATGTCGAAGTATCTTCAAAAGTAGCTGAATTACATTTCTGAGTATCTCAAAATACTTTACAGGGAAAGTAACTTGAGTTCTATTTTAAATACTTTATGAAGCAGGTATTTAGTAACTTAACTTAAATACTTTAACAGGTAATTTGTCAAACACTGGTTTCTATCCGCGATGGAAGTGACGTCATAAAAAATAATGGCGTTTTCTGGCCTCACTAATTTGTAGCTAGCCAAGAATAACCCAATTTATATTTAAAAAAAGAAATGTTAACACCCCCAACATTGAATTTCAGGACGAAGCTCTTAGAGTACGTCCTTGCAGTACAACGTGTGGAACTCTCATGGAGCCTACACTCTGACCTACCTACCTAGCCCGCATATCGCTCACATCTGTCCTGTGCCAATTGTAACTATGCGGGCAAGGCGCTAGCGTCAGTAGAAACATCGATCTCTCGTAGAAATCGCGTTGTTTCTGCTAGTTGGAACTGACCGACTCGGCCCTTGATGTCGCCGGTCTTGTCGGAGCCGTCGAGCGGCTTGACTTCGTCTCCGGCGGCCGGCAGGAAGGCGCTGTTCTCCTCCTTGGTGATGTTCATGTAGAAGCAGATGTCCGACGACTTCATGATGTACGCCGGACCCGGGTTGAGCAGCACGGGCCACTGGCCGTGCACGTCCGTCTGCACGCCCACTAGGGCCACCCCGTATCTGCGGCAGAGGGGACAGGATGGGAAAGTAACCGATGAAAGGACGAGCAGAAACATGAACCTAACGTTTCGAAAGAAGGCGTCAATCAATCAGTTTGTTAGACGGAGCGGTGTACACGGGGGTCAGCTTCAAAGAAAAGGAAAATTATTATCCAACCATCTCGTCGTCACTATAATTAACAGTGGAAAATATACGGCAGATTGGTGCATCACCACGTAAGCCTAATCAGAAGCCAATCACAAGGTGGATAACGGCGCCACACCCTGTCGCTTAGATCCGTAAATTTGAACTTGCGTCTTTGTCTGCTGAGCTATCAATGACGTGCCTAGCGTGCCCACCGGTTTTTTCTTCCCCCCCCCCCCCCCCCCCTTTCCCCCGAGGAATCGTACGTTGCGCATGCGTCAGCAGCCGAGTAGCTGAGTCCCATTTCGTGTGTGGGAGAAACACTGAAGAGGTGAATTGCCACAGTTGGTATCACAGAACAGACTAAGAAAAATTTATATACTTCGTTTAAGTCCAGACGCAGCCAACGCTGCGAGTTAATGGGACCAACTAAGCAGCGTCAAAAACACAAGTCATTGGACCTTTTTTGTTTCTGATTGCTTCAGCGATGACAGGAGACAGGAAAAAACATAGCGAATACCATGTCAGTGTGCATTTAACGCTGGCTGGTTGGTCCCATCAGCTCGAAGCGTCGGCTGCCTCGTGACTTAAGGTGAAACAAAGTGAAGTAGGGTAGGATAAGCTTCACCGTGAAAAGTAAGTTAGGACTTTCCTCAGTGTATAAACTAGAGGTGAAGCTGCGCTATTCGGTTCAAATCAGTGGTCACACACCCTTTATTTTTAGATAAAAGGCACAATTTGTGCTCTTTATAGCGGCGCCGAATAACATGGCAATGCAGGTTCTAGGGAAGGAGCGACAACGCATACAAATAAACAAAAAAAAAAATTTTTTTTTTTTTGCGTGGAATGCTTTGTTTTGATAGTTGATTTCTTTTACTTGTAAAAGGCCGTTGACACTATACACCGATTCAAATAGCTTCGTAAAATAAGAAAGCTGCGGCCCCTGTGGACAAATCAAAGCGTGAGAGCATAGCACGTGACAACGTGCGTTCGGGGTGCTCCTTTTGTCAGCAGATACTATGAAAAAATATTTTGGGGTTCTTTTACGTGAAAAAAATAGCGACAGGAATCTTACATGCCCCAGCGAAGGAATGAGGATTAATTTTGACCACCTGGGGATCCTCTGACGTGCAACCGCAGAGCTCCGTTACATGGCGCCTTCTCCGCAGTAAACCTCCGTCAGATTAAGGGGAACCTCGGCCGCGATTCGAACCCGTCCCCTGGGCATCCGTAGGCCGGCGCTTTGTCTCGGAACCAACGAGGCGGCTAACATTAATCATGCGCTTCGCTGCGTCGCACAAGCGACTCACGGGAATCGTTGTTTGCGCATTTTGCCGTGTTATGCCAAAACGGTGTATAACAACTTACACAAAATAAAGTAAACGATGGCAAAAAAGGAAAGAAAATAAACGCACCAATTGTTTTGACGCAAAAAAAAAAAAAGAGAAGAGAACGAACGCTCACTTTCTGTGCGAGTGGAAGGAGGCGTAGGTGAAGCTCTTGCCCTCGTACTCGCCGAAGAAGCGGCTGTCCCCGAGGCGGATATGGTAGATCTCATTGCCGGAGCACTTGCCGTACAGGCGGTGCCACTCTTCGGCCGACGTCTGGCCCTCCCTAAGGGAAGAAAACAAAATTAGACGAACGAAAGAATAACTATATTCTGGTTGAAATCGAGGAATTCGGGGTTTTGAAGTCCGTGAACGACGAGCCAAAATGCATTGCAGAGGTAAATTATACAACAGGAAGAAGTTGAACAGGAGCCTTCTGCAAGCCAGCAAATTTAATGCAAACTGCTATGTAATTGTGTTGCATACGTGAAATGTTCTAGCATCACAAACGTTTACCGTTACGCTGAGTTCCCAGACGCTTACGTAAAGGGCACTATTCATCAAATAGCAAACGCGCACCATGTGTACACTTGACAGTTCTTCCTAGAATGAAGCGATACTACCGATAATCGGGCTTCTAAACCTGGCGATCTTCCAGAGCCTTCCCTACTTTCGACCACCTTTCCCTCACTGCGCACAGGTGGTCGAGCTACTCCTGGCGTAAACCTCCGGTCACATGACCTCGCTGTTCACGAATCAGTGTCGGGCCTCGCGGCCACGTTTTTATCCAAACTTCCCTTTTGAGCTTTTTCAAAATGCCGAACATCTAGCCAAAGAACGCTTTACGTTAAACGGGCAGCCAATGGATGGGTAAAAGACGTAGCTTCTTGAAAGCCCAGAAGTAAATAACTCTCATAGCAAAACTTTGTCAGCAGTCATGAGACTTGGGAGCATTAGCTTCTGCAAGACCCTGAAGAAGTCACATATCTTAGCAAACCTTCAGCTGCCACCGTGAGGCTTTCAGGAGGTTTTGTCTTCTAAGTGTAACAACCTATATTTGGTAAAGACCGCATTATCTGAGCGCTATAAAATGACAAGGCTGGGAGTGAATAATCTCGGAGCAATACTCACTGTCCTCTTGAGGTATGAAGCAAAAGCGTGACCAAGGTAGACGCACCGGGACAGAGGCAGTTGTTGGCTAGAAGGGCATACTTGAATTCATCCTCACATACCACATGTTCTGTTGGTAAGGACGGAACAACATGGTAACCCATTAGAACGTAAATAAGAGCCGAAAATATATATTTCGTGAGTCGACGCGAGACTGACCTGCGAAGGCCACGTGCACTTTGTTTTCGGGACGGAATATTTGAATGTACTGGGGAACATTTGGAGCGAAGTCGCGCACAGCCCAAGAACGAAGAATAGTGTGCTCGTCCTGGAAAACAACAACAGCACCATCAACAACAGCATCACAAACGATAAAAAATGATCCAGTTTAGATGTATTCATTTTAGTTATCTCTTTCTTGGATTGAAAATATTGGGGCTCCTAGAAGTCCCCGAGTGTATACTAAATTAGTGTTTCACCGAAACGACAATCGCTAGTCGGCGGTCAAGCGTTTACAACTTTACACAATAATGTGCCTTTCTTTCTCGTCCTTAATATGAAAAAAATATTGATAATTAGCAAGACATATATTTAGCAAAACAGAGGAAAATAAAGTGCAGTTAGTGTTTTGAGTTGATTGAGGGATAGTAGTGACTTAATGCTAGACTATCGGGTAATTTTGTTTTCAGAGCATGCAACAAATAATGCCCGCAAAACGGGATTGATGTGACCAATACACTCTAGCAAAACAACTTTAATGCTTTTATTGAAAGTCTACGGATCAAAGTTGCAACTGATTGCTAAAAATAGATATCAACTTCCGCATTTTCTTCTAGAGTGTATTTTGTTGAAAACGTTTGATTACAGCTTTCGCGACGATCCAAAATATTATTTTTAGTAATTGTTGGTTGTCATATATTTCTTCAGGTGCTCACATGCAAAGCACCCAGTTTTAACTCTCTTTATTATACTTCGAATCAACCCATGTTACACAAATTATGTTTCCTAAGCTTTGCTTTTTCGTGATAGACTAAAAAATATGAAAACACGCACGTACGGCAGCTGCTAAATCAGCGTAGTTTCTGGCAGCCAACATAAAACAGGCCTCTGCAGCATTCATCCTGCAAGAAAATAAAACAAAATTATGCTTCAAGATTTTTACCAGGGAATAACGCATGCAAAGAAAATCAATTTTTTGAAAACGGGAAAAATATTGTGTGAATTCAAATGCAGCTAAACAAGACAGGAAATAAGAAATAAAACCAAAACCCTGTAAGGAACGGAATACTATTCAACGCAATCGCAGGTCAGTCACCGAAACTAGTTCTGTTTAATATTCAAAGTTAGACCAAAATAAATGAAATATATAAAAAAAGAGCAGGTTAAACAAGATATCAATAACGATATTGACGTGACTGAGACTGAGACAAAATTGAGAAGAAAATAAGAAAAAGGAAAGTAACTTAGTTAAAGTAAACATGAACGAAAAAAAAAAAAAACATGATTGAGACGCGGCGTGAGAACATCACGACAGAGATCAGCCATCTTACACTTATGCATTACCTGAAAACAGGTCTCAACTAAGATAAGCACAAATAAAGAAGCCCCCCCCCCCCCCCCCCCCGCCCCCCCCCCCGCCCCCCGCAAATCGAGTAGCATTTCTTAAAAGAGAAAAGAAAAACTCGTTTTTTTACAAGTTTGAGACATTAATTAGTTTTGTGAAAAGTTTGCCTAAAAAAAAAATGGATACCGAGTTTGAGTTTAGAAGAAACTTCATATTGAAAGTGCATGTTACTAGTTTTTCACGTTCGAGAAACAAATCGTTAAAAACTGTTTTAAACATCTAAAAATAAAAAAAAGAAGCGAAAGCAGGACAGTATTAGCAAGACTTGTAGTTGAGCTAGTTGGTTCAGGGTACCGAGTAGACTTGTATGCGCAAACACAAATAACAAACACGAAGAAGTGTACAAGGACCAAGCGCAACTTCCAACTAGTTTCATTCGCGGCCAAGCGACCACAAAAGATAAGCATGCGCGAAAAAGAGAGAGAGAAAAAAAACACAAAGTGGAGACGCATGCTCCTTATTCTTTGTATAAAGCGCTTCCATCAGCGATTCTGGCATGCCGGGTGTTTTTTTTAGGTTTTCTTATACTTTTCCCTTTTTTGTACCATGCTGCGCATGCTCCTTCTGAACCTTTCGCGCTCTCTGGGCCGCGAATAACACTAGTTGAAAGTTGCGCTTTTCCTTGTCCACTCCTTCGTGTTTGTCCCCTGTGTTTGCGCGTACAAGTTTACTCAGTACAAAGACGGTGTCCCCAGGCCACCCTAGGTATGAAACCTACAAGCAACCGTGGACTTTGGTTTGGACGCTTTCAACTTGTAATAGCTACAATTTTGCTTTTATCGACGGGTTCGACGAACGGTAACAAATTTTGAGACCAGACACGGGAAACCTTTCTACCACAAGACACAGCTGTACACATGCATAGAAGCGGGCGAGTTTATTCTCAAAGAGTTTTTTGTAAACATTGAAAAAAAAAGAGATAGAGAACAGGCGTGGACAGCGATTATTACGATAGATGGTTCCGCTTTGCCTACAGGCACGCGCTCTCACGGGAACAATATGTTCTCAAGCTATGTCTGTGGCACGTATTTTGCTGTGCGCGTAAAAAAAGTGCGCTTGCATGTCCTCGGAGGCTATAACCTGTAATCGCTGGACAGCGAACGTAGAAAATGTTGCGACGCTTTCACACACAGCTCCTTTCACGGTTACTTCAAATTCTGCTCAATGGCGCTCCAGGATGACGCTGAACAATAACGCATAGGTATTATTAAGCTACAATCTGTGTTTTCATATAAATCCGAAAACATACTAAGAAAAACACCGTCCTATAAATATTTCGCCAATTCGGATTTATCCGTTAAACTCCGAATTTCGATGTACGAATGGCAAAAGAGAAAAAAAACAAAAAAAACAGACGGTAGTTACAATTACGTTTGGACAGCGCACAGGGTGAATGGTCTTGAGAAGAAGTCACCCCAGTTTTCTCTCAAACCTCAAACCATAAAAAAAAGTAACATCACCGCTTATCTTGTCTAGGTTCATAGGGACAACAAGTGTTCCGGGCTACGACAAAAGCTAATGTTCCGGTTTGCAGTTTGGCCATACTACTTGTTCTTCTTAGAGGAAGGAGGGGTTGTGTTTTTGTAACTGTGAACTCTGTGAACCTGTTACTGTGAAGATACTTCATAGAAGGCGGAAGCGAGGGCGGATAGTGGAAGCTCCTATATTACAACCTTTAGCCCGCCGCGGTTGATAGATTGGATGGGTTAAATACGAGCTTCCCAGCGACTACCTCCAGAAGTTTAGTGATTTTAATGTTTGGACGTTTATGGAGGTAACACTTGTTTGCAACTTTATTCGTGGGGCAAATAAATATTGCCAGGGGCACTGGCGCCAATGCCAAATCCAGCTGACGAAATAATGATTGATACAAGCTCGTTTTTCTTTGAAGTCTAATACACGCCTAGACCCAGATACCATTTTTTTAAATACTGCAAAATTAAGTTTTGAGTTTCGGAGAATTAGGAATTGAAAAAAAATAAACTGCGATAAACTCAAAATATTTGGCAAAGAAACACCCCCGAAGCGATCTTACCTGTAAATATTAGTTATTGGTTATATATAAATAATCGAATACGAAGGGTACATTTCTAATAGAAACAATTTTGACGGCTAAGTGGCAGACGGTCTTAAAACCTCTATTGGTTTCTGTAGTATCAGATCCGTCATTTCGTCGTGACCTTCGGATGTTCGCACCTGGCTCTGGTGAGGTCGGTGTCCTTGAGCGCCGATCCCTGGATGTAGATCACCCTCTGGGCCCACATGGGAATCTGCAGGATCATCTTCATCGTGGCGTCCACTTCGCAGGGCGACAACAGCACCACGTAGTAGTCCTGCAGCGGAGATTCGCCACTCTTTACATTCGCAATAATTTTGGCTTTAGACAAATGTGACGGGACTGCTGGTGCGCCCCTTCGGCTGCACTAAACTACACAAGGGGAAATAAGCATCGATGCAGCGGCGTCACTTTGGACTGACGGCCTTTCTTCACCGCGACTTCAAAGCGAGATTCCACTTCTGTTATTGTAATGATTATAATGTCTTTTAACGTGCTTCTTGCATCTGTATCTTGACGCCTGCTTGTATACTTCCTGCCCTATTTCTGTGCTGCGTTTATTGCAGTAAGGCTATCGTCCTCACTATGAGAACGAGAGATAAACATTGATCGCCGACAAGGTCAAGTGTACCCTGATATTAACACTGCTTACGCTGACCTTTATCGAGTGCAGACTAAATTACCTTGGTTCTGACCTTGTCTACTTTTACAATCAGCAACATGCAACACGCGTTTCGACGCGCATTTCTTGACAAAAATGACAAACCAGGCGCCTGCCTCCACAGTCCAGTGACTCAGCATCTGGGTGATAATCGCTGGAGAAGTGCATAGACCATGAACATCTACGTCAGCTTCGTTAAAAATGTCGTGTAAAAAAAGACGTCATTTTACCTGAAGCAGGGGATGGGCGTAGAACTCGTTGAGGAAGTCCATGACGGTGTCCGCCCGTAGCGTGGTCGAGCAGACCACGACGTGCCTCTCGCTCTGCGCCCGGTGCATGCTGTACGTGCCGCCCAACTTCTGCCGCTCCATCCAAGTGTAGGCAAGCTGCTCAAACTGGACAAAAGAAGGCACCGAACGTGTTTCAGAGTGTGCTGATGCGGACTTTCAACATACAGTGTCTTAAAGCATCGCCTAATAGAGACCATGAAATGTTGTTGGTGTTTGAATTTTTGGAACTGCAAAGCATAAAAACACGTATCGAATTATATACTTGATTTCTATCGTGGCATTTAAAAAAGGTAAGGGTAACGATTTCCTTTTTGCAACTTAGCAATGTTTTTTTTACTTTATTTTGATGCGTTTGTTACCCCAAAGGGTAACGCTGACGATCCACAAATATATCAGTCAAATGCAGTGCACACTGCTTTGATAGAGGCATGCGCTGTGTCACAGCTCGGCTTGCTAGCATCAATGCGGCGGCTCATACTCAAGATCACGTTCCTCACCTGAATTGATACAGTTAACTGGGAGAAACGTTGCATCCGACTCTATTAGCCACTAGGAACGCAACTCACCTGTGTGGGCAGCACGATGAGGGCGGCACAAATCATGCCGACCATGAAGAGCTGCGACGGCCAGACGTCCGGCTTGAAGTCGCCGTAGCCGACGGTCGACAGTGTCACCACCACGAAATAGAAGCTCTCGAACAGGTCCACGTGCTCCACGCCCGCACGCTGAAAGTGCTGGAACCCGCACACACTGCACGCAGGACGACGAAAAAAGACACGCTACGGCTTTGCTCGCACTTTTGCCACCTTGCGACTTTACAGCAAACTATCTGTATGAGCCGTCGTGACCAGCGCTTCAACGTAACGAACTTGTCGTCTGCTTCTCAATTCTGGACAAGTATGTCGACTGGGGCGAAAGGTACGATCGTTCTACAAGATACGGTTAGTCTAAATGTAAGAACAGAGAGGCTACGAATACTTTAGAGTACGTATACTTGTGAGTCGATGTTTACCATCCCTGCAGCAGACTGTTTGAAATGCTTAAAAGTCCCTTGCACCTTATACTATTATTTATGGTACTGTATGACTAACCTTCTTGCGCATCATTATCACCAAGATCTTAACTGTGCGCGAGTGTAAAAAATAAATAATATAATTTAATTTAATCTACGGTAGACTCAATTTATTTCTTCCAAGTGGTAGACAAAATGGCGTAGCGATCGATTTGTATCCTGGCCACGATATAACCTAAAAATGAACGTGATTTATGCATTTTCGGCTGCCTATAATGCGAGAAGGCTTGAGTTGTTTCAGGTCACGCCGAGTGTGAGTAAAAAATATTTCTTCTAAAGAACGCACAATATTTATTAAGCAATGCGAAGCTTCGACACGGCTTATAAACTCAATTCCTCAAAAATACAAAAACGCCTTTCATAAAACGTGAAAACGAGTAATCGTTTTCCTGAAACGATTACTCCACCAGAGTTCAAAATTTTCCATGCGTATATACTTTATTAAGAAAATCTATACATCAGCTGTTGACTTCAAATATTTTTGTTTTGAGAAATTTAAAGTTACGTATCTTCCACAGAAATTGTTTAATTTATCTGCGATGTCTTTATTTGGAAATATATTGCAATGAAGATTTTTCTTGGAGAACGTTCATTACGCAAATTTTTACTAACAAATGCAAATAGATAATGATTGTAAATTATGCGTCACTTTTCGTAAGTTTTTATGAAGGAGTAATTGTTCTTATAATTCTTGTTTGGATGAAAACAAAACGGGCGGGAGTAGCTTTTGGCTTATGCCTGATTCAAGCAGGTGAGAAAATAAATATAAAACAAAAATGTTTTATTTATCAATATCTTTATATAAGCGGTGAATATTGTCCTTTTAAACGTGGCTGAAATTAAACTAAGTATTTATTAATCGAAATAAAAAAAATCGTTTGCAGGGTAAATGTTAAAGCAAAATGTTTTAACACGAACTTTCAAATCAGTGTACAGGCACGTCTATTTTCTGCATACCACTTCCCCTGTTATTTAAGCAGAAAAAAAAACTTACCTCGTAAAAATGAGGCAAAGCAACGTTGCTGTGAGGATGAGCAAGCGTTGAGAAAGGGCTGACTGCGACTTTTGTAGCGCCCTGTGCAAATCGTTCTGCAAAGGAGAAACAGGGAAAGTGGCTTAGGAGATGTTTTGCCTCTTGGTCTCAAGTATGCATAGGAAAACATCACCTTGATTACCAAAATCGCAATTATTAAGAATAAAGAATAACCCTTGTTTAATCAAATCCTTCAGTGCTGGCAAGATTCTAATCAATATTAAAAAATATTATCGTCGGTTGTTCAAGAATAAAGTGTTTTGGTATAAAAAAAGAAATAATCAAAGTTGCGCTTGCATTTAACAGTGTTCTTTCTGTGTTATGTATTCATTTAAAACATTTATGTCTTCAGTCTTGAGTAATTGTATCTCTTGTTCTCCACATACCGTATTCTGGCATTGTTTATTTGAAGTCAGTTTTTTTGCAACTTTAATGTGGAAAGTTAATCTTAAGTCATCATGCATGGTTTTGAATCTAAGGATTATGTTTCAAATATATGCCAACTGATGTTTTATGTAACAAAATAAATTCTTCCGAAAAAATACTTCCGGTAATTGTTTTTTTTTCACTTTGAATTACTCTATAATAAACTTTGATATTATTAAGAAATCAGATCACAGTGACACAGTAAAGGTTTTTGAACATAAAGAAACGGTTCTGAGTTTTTACTTGATTCACGTATGTTCAAAAACGAAGATGTATTTTAATAACTGCTTTTTCATTCTATCTAAGTGTAAGAGAATGAAGATACTTACAAACATGTTTTCCAGTACAAACTTGGCAAGCCAACAGTTAAGAAACACTGGTACAAAGACATTTCGTAAAGGTGCATAAAATATCTGTAAAAGAGTAAAACAACAAAAAAATCAAGATATTTACTACGGCATTCCAGTCTTGGCACGAAAAAATATAGTTCGATAGAGCAGAAATGAAAAAGAGAGGTGCTTGCGTATCCACTTACGGTAACTATGAACGGCACATTGTTGACAACTTCTAGCAGAAATCGGAAAGAAAGAAGCTGCCTCCAAATGTTTCCCTGCCGAGAAAATAACAAACAGAATTAGACAAACAATTTCACTTGTAAGAAACATGCCATGTGTACTGTAATTACTCTAACGATTTGGTAAAATGGAAGCTTGGGAGAGTTGGCTATTTATAACAGCAGTAACAACGCAAAAAAAAACAAGGACAAGAAAAAAAAAGAAGTCACACAGAAGGACAAAAAAAGCGCTATTTTGTGTGCCTCCCTTTTTTTTGCCATTGCAGCATTTTCTGAAACAAATCTGGCCTAATCACGAAAAAATTAAAATATGACTATATTATTATATGCTTCGTTTCACTTTAGCTCAACGCAAGTGAAAATATTTAACAGATACAAAAACTATTTGTACGGATAATCACGACAGATATTTTGGTCGCAAATATCATTTTAAATTTATTGAGATTGCAAAGCAATCCACCCAGATCTTAAGCACAATGTTTCATCCGTATCAAGAATCCAACTTGTTTCAAACACAAAAGTTTGGAACAATATTTTGTGTACAAATTCGCATGTGTATGGTTTTTAAGCTTCTTTATGACTTTTACGCATGTATAGTTGTGGCGAATATGTATCTTATGTTTTGTGGTTTACCGCAAGTACTTGGGCCGCTGGTAAGCACGTGAAAAATAAACAACGAATTGAATCATAAATGTTAGTGATGGGCTTAGTCGTATTATATAAATTTAGTGTAACATGCATGATTGATTGATTCATTAGTTTATTCATTAATTTATCCTTTAATCCGTTCATTCATCCAGAGTTCACTGTGGAAACTTAAACACACGGGAACTCTAAAAGTGTTTAAAAACATTATTTCATAAAAACAAACAGCTAGTGCTTTCATATATATTTTGCGGCCTCTGGTTTATTTGATATACCCGTACGAATTTAAATTTTAATAGACAGAACACTCTCAAAACACCAACAGGCCAGCCCCCCCCCCCCCCCCCCTCCCCCAACATGACACACGGGCGAGCTGACGTGACGAAGCACATCAACACGTCTTCTATACTCCGTGTCACTAGTTGCGTGCAGTACAGGCGAAGGCTACGCCAGGCGAGGGGAGAAAGGGCAAGCACTAGAAATGCTGGGGGAGGAGGAGAGGAACCTCCTTTCCTCTCTAACGTTCCTAGTGCTCTCCCTTTCTCACCTTTCCCTCCATTGCACTCCTCTCCCGTCCTGCCTTCGTAGTGCTCGAACTTTCTCTCTTCGCCTGGCATTGCCTTTGCCTGCACTGCACACAACTAGTGACAGGGAGCATAGGAAATGAATGTTTGAAGACCACTCTATTTATCCTTCCCTATGCTCCAACGAGTTTCTCCGACCCGCATTTTTTTATTTCTTTTTTTTCCTCTTTTTGATTTGTTTTCAGAGGCGCTCGCGTCGGCTGGGCCCGTCCGAATGTTGTTCCTCGGAGAGCGGGATTTAATTAAGTCGGCATATCCCGCGAGGCGGCTAGATCCCGAGAAGGACAATATTGGTGCTTCAGGAGACGGGACACGTACGGCGGAGGCGTCGCTTCGTTGCACGACGTGACTTCGTAGCAAGTTACCATTCTAGAATACTCTGGTTACCGCGCTTTTCTTTTTTTTCATCTTCTAATTGAAAGTTTTGCTTTTATTTCTCTAAAGCCTTAACTTTCTGCTTTACCTTCGCCTGTTTAAAGCCCGTTAATTAACTGTTATAAATGTTTCGCCTTTGAGCGAAACATTTATAAGTGTTAATTTTCGTATGGTGCGAACTATATTAACCACCGAAGCTGGATAAAAAAAGAAAGAAAAAAAAAGGTATCTTGAACGGTTTAGCGTATAACAGCAAACGTTTCGATAAAAGACTTATGAACCAACGCGCGGTTTACAAACAAGTCCGCGTTCGTACAATTGAGCGTGTGGAGGAGGTGAGAATGCGCGGAGACGCCATAGCTCGGTGTCCATGATGTCCCCCTTATGCTCTTGTCTCCTCCCCCTTTCTTCCCCCCCCTCTCTCTCTCTCCCTGTTTCTACCCGCATAGCTTCCGAGGGGCGCCGACTGCCACCACTCTGAGGTTCTCAAGAGGTTCCTTACAATCTTATATACAAAACTCAAGATGTGCCCTTAGATGTGCCGCGATCGAGAAGCCGACGTAAAACATGCTCTTTCGTTTCCAGAAATACACGATGTTCGTTTCGACCCTCAGAAGTCTCTATAAGTGCGTACTGCTTCGACAATTTATTTACCGGCGTAACCAAAAAAAGAGCTGTTGCATGAATCCTCATGCAGGCTGGAAAGCAAAAAAGGCGTCCGTTCCTTCGCGACTGAGGTCCCGTGGCCATTGGTAACGGTCATCTCTCGTTAGTAAGGACACCGCTAATATGAATATCCCGCTTTATAGACGAGAGTTTCGAAGGGGGGGGGGGGGGGGGGGGGGAGGGGGGGGGGGGCAACTGGGTAAATGCCTGCATTTTAGAGCGCAGCTCTTAGACGCCTGTTTCCGGCTTGAGCGGCGTCGCCGTCGCCGTCGGCGTAACCGCGCGGTGCATTATGGGTAAATTTCCCCGCTAAATTTAGCGAAAAAATTTCCCCGCTAAATCTAGTGGAAAAAATTCCCCGCTAAATCTAGAGGAAAATTTCCCCACTAAATCTAGCGGGAAAATCACCCCCCCCGAGGTCACGTGGGGGGTCACGGGACCTCGGGGGGAGGGGTCAGGTACCCTTCCCTCCTCATCCTCAACAGCTGCGCTCTAATTCGGCGTTACAGGTAAACGGCTTTCATTTTTTGTTTCGTTATCACGTCTAACTCACACTATGGACAATATGTTTTTTAGGCGGGGGGAGATTGAACGGAGGTGCCTATACTAAAGAGACATGAATATATTATACACTAATTGTCATGGTACTAATTTTCATGGCACTAACAGCTTAGGAAACGAAGGGCGTGGCTCGCTGTGTTCACACTTCTTTCTTCGTGATTCCTACGTCTGCGTTGTTTTCAGCGGTTGCCGTGCCCTCTTATCGCTGCGTAGCGATAATATAATGAGGTGGGCTCGACACCCCCTCGCGTTTCTTAAGTTGTCGGTGACTGTACATATGTTACACTGAAGCCATACAGTCGGTTTGTACCTAAATAAACTCAAATTAAAAGATTTATAAAATTAAGTATTTCTATATTTTTTTACGCGGATAGTCGGCTGGATATTGTTGGTATTGGACGCGTATTTTTTTGTTTGGATCGATAAGTCTTGTCTTTCTAGATCAGGCGTGAGCGTTTACCAAATCAATTTTACTACCGTGATTACTGCGTTTGTTAGACGGTTACCTAAGTTGTTTTATTGGATCGTTATCACTCAATCATATTGAGCAACGCTGGAAAACGGTGACAGTGTCCATTTATCCGGAAACACCGCTCTTCTAAAAGAGAAATCGATAAAGGCTTAAAATTAACCCAGGAAAATCAATAAACCGGCGACCCGGATCTTATAAGCTTGAAACGAAATCGCACCTGCCTTTCCGTAACATAGGTACTTTCAAAAGCCAATCACTCCGGTTTATACTTAGTTTGAGCTAAGTCCAGACGCAGCCGACGCTACGAGCTTATGGACCGATCGGGCAGCATCAAAAGCGCGAGTCACTGGGCCTTTTTTCCTGTTTATGATTGGTTCAGCGGTGATGGAACACGTACAGAAACACGACGAACACCATGATGGTGCGCGCTTTTAACGCCGTCTGATTGGTCCCATTAGCTGGTTGCGCCGGCCATCTTTGTCTGTTGGGTTGTGGAACGCCTTTTGAGCATGCGCTGTTGCTCTGCTGTGCGATATATTGGACGCTGCGCATACGTCCACAACTCAGTGACTCAGCATTTCTCGCCCGGATGCAAAGGTCTACATGAAAAAAAAAATGAAAAAAACGATGAGACAAAAGAAAAAAAAAGAATTAGAGTCTCTTACGTGGTACTGACCAATGATCATGACGTAAGCATGTCAAACGTCATGCCATGCCACGTCGCAGCCGCCATCTTTCGGCGAAAAGGTTTTCCTGGCTTCGTCATTCCCAGCGATGCTTTCATAAGAGAGCGGTAATTAGTTATCTAAAGCTGCGGTTCCACCGCTAAAATGTCAGAAGCGATACGGGTTTTGCAACACGTTTCTTGCTCGCATGACACTCCCGTCACATTGGTCGTACAAAACCCTGTCAGCAGACATATTCGAAGCATGAACGAAGCAAACCGGCTTCGAACATGCTTTGGGTGTGTTCTCAGGTAATTCTGTCATCGCGTCTGCAGCAAACGCCGTGTCCTGCATGTGCCATGTACACATCGCGACAGTGTTAGCGGGAACACGACATCGGCGCCTTTTCGGATTTTATTAGGACAGAATATTAGTGGACACACGATTTTACCCCTTATGTTAAAGCCCTACATGAGCTCTTTCTATAACAATGATATCTATAACAATGATATCTTTGATGACAACCTTTCGGTTCTAAGAGGAAAACACAGAAAACTGGCGATCGCTTGTTCGCGCTAACAGTGTCGCGCTCTGTACAAGTGGCGTGACCGAAACTTTGGTGCTGTGCCAATACTACCTGGAGAAAATTGAAGTCAGTGCACGAGCGATTCAACGTCATCAAAGTGAGATTGCGAGCGCAGATTTTTGACTGGACACGACTACCGCGTCGGCGTTCGGCTAGACCTCGTGTCCAGTAAACGCATCGAAGGACATCCGCGTTTCGTGCTCGGGCCCAGTAACTGAGTGGACGCCATCCGGCTATGGCTGCGTTATGAGGAGGTCAAAGAGGCTATTTACCGGCATTGATGATGCTAAAGGAGCTGTTGGCTTTGCAAGGGGGTGGGGGGGGGGGGGGGGGAGCAGATCCACGCGCATCGCTTGTAGCTTATATTCGAAACACGAACGGCGTGCATTCGGCCCCCTTTCACCTGCTTTGCATTTCGGCCGCCAGGCGGCGTCAGTTATTGCTGCATACTTGGAGACATGGTAACTCCCCAGCTGTATTTTTTTTTGTTCTTCGCGTCTTTTTTGATCGGTGGCGTCGCTTGGATTGAAGTTGCCGATACCGACTCTTGTGCTGCCCTTTTTTTTCGATCGTGGAACCCAGAACGGCTGAATTTGCGTATTTTCGGCGTATCTTTCCCGTCTCAAAAAAGCTCTATTCGACTCTTTTTCTCGTGAATACAAAGTAGAACACTGTGAAAATTGGACCCAACGATTTACATATCGATTCTTTTTCTCATCTGATCCACGTCAGAAAAACAGAATGCTTCTCCTACTCACACAGATACAAACACACACACCCATCGACTCAAACGGGCAAGCACACGCACACGGAAACACACGCACACGGATACACACAAAAGCAGGCACACGTGCAAACACACGCATAAGCACACACACACAGATATACACACGCACATACGCAAGCGTACACGCACGTACCCATACACAAGCAAGCACGCGTCCCCGCAAACACACGCACGCACGCATACACACGCGGCAAAACGTACACGCACATAGAGCGCAAGGAGAAACATAAAACACTCTCTCGCACGCTCTGTGTACACATCCGCCCGCCAACGCTTCGTCAATCGATCGTCGGCACAGGGAGCGAACTACTTTGTACCGCGGTGGGAGACCCTTTGTAGCCCTCGCTCCGACCAATATCTACCGCGCCGATCCGAAGGCCGAAGGCGCATCCTCTGTAGTGGGCGTCGCGTCTCAGCGGGAATCAGTGAAACCTGATCGCACCCAAGAAATGTTTTCATGACACACAAAAGCTTTCCTTCTTTATTTACTCTAGCTGTCGTCAGAGGCGTGTCTTCGCGCGAGAGCTGTAAGAACACTGTTTATTTCTGTGAAGGGCCGACAGCGGCGTAGCGGTATTATATACGCAACGCGCTGATCAGCGTTGCTCCCGGAAGCGGAGGCTGCGACGCTGGGATATAGGGTACCACGGCGGCGGGCCCTATCCCTCGTATTTCACGCTGTCAATAATGGGCCTCGCGTATACGCAACACGTTTGCGGAATCTCGCATCCGCAAATGGGCAATGCGTCTGGCTATGAATTATGTTTCTGTATCCGGCCTCATCGCTAACATGCGGGTGGGTTAGGTCGTTGCCATCCTGTTTGGTTTGGGAGAGAGGTCAACCAGCTGCAGCCTAAACATATCTAAACGGAAAACGTTATATACGAATCACCAAACTATGCGATGAGACTGGAGGGGTTGTTGTAAAATCATATAATGTGTAAAATAGAAAGATGCAAACATATGGTTAGTTTTTTGGTTTTTTTAAAATCAAATTTGCACAGGCGAAAAAAAAAAACACTAGTCAAGCAGTTTCTAAAGAAAAAAAAAGTTTTTACTATATATCGCCTAAGAAATAAGCGCGCATCCTAAATATTTTGGTTACGTATTCTTTTAATGCTAGAATAGATGAATGATAGTTAGGAAAGTGTCCCAAAGCTTGACAAAATCTCGACTCACCTTGTAGGTAAGATATACGACAAGGCAGGCCTCAGAAAAGCTAATAATGGCCAGGGTGGTCTGGAGAAGAAGAAATGAGAAAACAGAAATTAGCATCTTTTGTGGGAGTTTTCAAGTTTTCAGCACCATAGAAACGGGCAGTCTCCGGGTTATCGGAGCATCTTCTGCGACAAAACCCCCTGTATTCTTGCTGCAAAAACCACCAGAGCTCCTGGTTACAGCACGTGTGTTGTGGCCCTGATCAGTATCAACAATGAGTCCAATTTGCGCGATGTGTTTTCCCGTAATGTGAGTATATTAATTCAACTAGAACATTTTGTTTTTAATTCAGGAATAACAATAGCATAAATTACTACAGCAACGACTCAGCACTAAATTTTACATTAGATTTTTCACAAACACACGCTTCTACGTGTATACTGCACCGCAATGCTCTTCGAACACTTTTCTGCCTTCAGTCGGTTGAGCCAATAAAGTGGACGAGTGACATCGTGCTTTAATCACCACGAAGACACAATTGCGCAAAATGGTGGGCACCCAGACTTTTTGTCACTCAAACCGCGGGATCACTGGAGCAAGCAGCGATTGCCATTGTCAGTGAGTGAACTAACCAAAGAAGGGCAAATGAACAATGTATTGAGTGCATCGCGGTGCAGTACACAAGCCGATAGCTTCTGAGAGTTATAAAAAAGCGAAAACAAAGAAAACGTTTCACAACGCCTAGTTGCAGTTTAAAACTAGACTAATTTTTTAGCAAAAACAACAATACATTCTTGAACTCCACCCCCCCCCCCTCATAAAAAAAAAAAAAAACAGTGAAAAGACGAGTAAGTATATTGAGTGGCATCTTAATACATACCTGAATGCACCAGAGAAGGAAAGGCCTCTCAACCCAAAATATGGCTTCCCTGTGGGAAAACAAACAAATGTCCGTTGACAGGTGTTTAAATTGACAAAAAGAACAAATGCCTGCGGCGTCAGTGTCCCTCATTTGTACTGGACAATAGTTGCGAGTTTTAATAAGCACTCAAGCGGAAGAGATGAGCTATGCAGTGTGCGTATACAACAAAAAAAAGTCTAAAAAATTAGGAGAAATAAAAAAAACGCTATCAGCGTGCTATTTGAAAGTATAAAGTGCAGTACCATTTGAAACTATTAAATGCGTTAGAATTTATTGCCCTGGCGCATGCAGCCGTCTTTCGTTTGGACGGTCGTGGTTTGGTTAGGACTGGTTTGGACTGGACTGGATAGGTTTCCCGAGGCCGCAGCGCGGGGCGCCGGTTCCCGCCGTGCTTTTGCTCCGTTCTTTCACTACAGTCCGTTGCAACTCAAGAAGGTAGGGCGAGGGAAAGGAAGGCCGGGAAAGAGGAAGCAGACGGAACGCTAAAGAGAGGAGGAGGTTTCCCCCTCTCCTCGCCAGCGTTCCGTCTGCTTCCTCCTGCCCGGCCTTCCTTTCCCTCGCCGTATACCTTCTTGAGTGGCAACGGACTATGGATGGTTACGGCTACTTTCATCTTTACAAGAGGGAAAGAGTCTTCTGGTAGGCTTCCTATGACGCGTCGCGGGAGCGGGAGAGGAGGAGATTGAGCGGCCATGGCGGTGGCACCAACGTACGCCACAAAGTACAACCGAGGCGCAGCGACGACGCCGTCGGTGTGCACTCTAAAAAACGCCCGTGCGTTTAGTTTCCCGCACAACACTCGGAGAACCAATCACCGCAACTGACGGAGACAGCTCAGCAAATGACGATGCCGAAACTTATGTTTAGACCAAAAAACGCAGTCTGAGTTGTGACATTAAGCAATGCAAAACGTAACGCTTGCATTGCTTAATGCCACAACTCAGACTCCGTTTTTTTGTCTAAACATAGGTTTCGGCATCGTCGTTCGCTGAGCTGCCTCCGTAAGTTGCGGTGATTGGCTCTCCGAGGTGTTGTGCGGGAAACTAAACGCACGGGCGTTTTTTAGAGTGCACACGGACGGCGTCGTCGCTGCACCTCGGTTTTACGTTGTGGCGTACGTTGTGCCACCGCCATGGCCGCTCAATCTCCTCCTCTCCCGCTCCCGCGACGCGTCATAGGAAGCCTGCCAGAAGACCCTTTCTCTCTTGTAAAGATGAAAGCAGCCGTAACCATCCATAGTCCGTTGCAACTCAACAAGGTATACGGCAAGGGAAAGGAAGGCCGGGCAGGAGGAAGCAGACGGAACGCTGGAGAGGAGAGGGGGAAACCTCCTCCTCTCTTTAGCGTTCCGTCTGCTTCCTCTTTCCCGGCCTTCCTTTCCCTCGCCCTACCTTCTTGAGTTGCAACGGACTATAGTGAAAGAAAGGAGCAAAGGAGACAGCCAATCACTGTGAAAAAACAGAAGGGTACCAGCGAATGACTAAACCTGAAATATAATCAGAAAAAAAAAAGCGATGCGCGCAGGGTCATCAAGCATGACGTTTTCATTCTCACATTGTCACCGCGCACATTGAGAGTCGTCGTCCACTGAGATTCTTGTGCTATCTGCCGTGATCTATCTTTTCGTTCTGCAGTAAACTGAATTTACAGGCTCTCCTTAGAATGTACGGGTCTTCCCGTTTATTTCCCAGAGACTGGAGGGACTCTCAGACACGAAGGTGCTAATTGCAGCTTGACGGGGTGTGAGATCTCCGTTACAGGGCAACAGCGTCGGTACGTAACTTTATACTTTATACGAAATACAACAAAGGAGTAAGTAACAACGAAGTAGCTATCTCAAATCCTACATAACAAATACAGCAAAGGAGTATCCAATATAACAACAAAAAGGTGCCTAGTTATGTGTTATACAAAATACAAGTAGTTCAACACGTGAAGTGATCGCCAAGACCAGCATTTCAAAGTGGAAATACATCGCTATTATTATAAGTCTATTCATTTAGAATCGTCGGGAGGTTATAGAGTCTAAAAAATGCTTGCGCGTCTGCTTACCCGCAAAACACTCAAGGAGCCAATCACTGTGATCTACGAAATCAGCTCAGCGAATGATGAGGTGGAACATCTGTTTAGAGCGCTGTTGCATTACGCAGTGCAAAGGGTCATGCTTGCATTGCGTAATGCCACGGAGCATACTTAATTTTGAGGTCTAAACAGATGTTACGCCTCACCATTTGCTGAGCTGATTTTGTAGATCGCAGAGATTGGATCTTCGGGTGTTTTACGGGTAAGAAGACGCGCAGGCATTTCATGAAGTGTAATGAAGGGGTTGTAAATTATAAGTTGTACGGCTTCGGGGGAACCATCCATCTCTCCGGGTGGTAAGTACTGATAATACATTCATGGCCTTGTTAATTCGGAAATACAGTACAAGAAATCTATAAATGGTTCAGATGAAAAACGAATGGTATCAAGTTAACAATACTTATGCATGTTTTTGACGTGAAGTACTTTATAATTAGAAAATAAATGTTCTGGAGAGTAATTATACGGGACGATTGCAATATAACGCAAAACCTTTTTTTGAAGCAAAAGAGTTTGACGTAAGTATAATTTAGTAGTGGTTTTCAAAAAAAAAAAAATGACAGTATTTTAAGGGAGAGTTAAACAAGGCGTAATATATTTCCTGTTTAATATTGGTTGGTAAGAAATTGCGGCACCTGGCAATTACGCCAACTACGTGGGACAACTTTTTAGTTAAAGAATTAGTATGAAAGTTCCATGACATATCTTCAGAAAAATGCACACCTAGTGTTTTCATGTTGAGGGACAAATTAAATTTCTGTCGCTCCGAGTGTTAGGGGACAAGATATAGTTATTAACATATTTACTGGTCTGAATAAAATTGCTTTAGAAGTTAGTGTTCAATTTTTAATCCATTTACTTCTGACCAAACAGAGACTTTGTTTAACGATATATTTGCCATCCTAATAAGGATGTCAGCATCGTCACCAGTAAAAAATAAGCTGGTATCGTCCGCATGAATTATAAACTGAGTTTTATTATCTATATTAACAATGCCATTTATGTAAACAACAAATATTAAGAGTCCAAGCATACTTCCGTGCGGAACACCACAAACAATGCTCGAAAACGAAAATTGGTGACCGCCAATGTTTGCACACTTCTGGCGAATATACAAATACGGTTTTAATAGCATAAATGGTGTGCTGCGAATGCCATATTTATTCTGTTTTGCAAGCAAGGTTTTGTGATTAAGGAGGTCAAAAGCTTTACTAAGATCAATGAAAACCACCCAGTGTTAAATTTTTTCTTTCAATATTTCGCATTATATTTTTCTTGTATTAATGAAGCTGGTTCTGTAGGTTTGACACTTTGGAAACTATATTGAAAGTTCGTTAGTACAGAATGCTTTACATAAAATCCTTCGAGACGTTTAAAAATAAGTTTTTCGAGTGCCTTTGAGAAAATGGGAACAGATAATGTCACGACTGAGAAATTATGAGGCGAAAAATAACTGAAGAAACTAAACGTTTAATGAGGCGAACTTGTGCCCAAAACAAAATAGAAGTAAGTTAGCGTCGCAGGCGTCGCTGTCGGCGAAACAGCAGGATCGAGCGCTGGAGCGAGACTGACTCCGCTCGCCATGCGGATCATTCGGCGTAGAACTTTCGGTGCGTAGAACATTCGGAACTCGATGAGACGAGAGTGTTCACGAACTTATGAGAGAGAGAGAGAGAGAAAAAAAAAACTTTTAATAGACAATTAGTTTGGCTCTTCCGAGGCGAGAAGAGCCCTCATTCCAGGGCCCCTGTAGCTGTCGCTGCGGTTCGGGCCCGCGAGACCGGATTACGCTGGTCGTCCGGATCCCAGCTGGACAGCGCAGCTTCCCACTGCTCGGCGTTTGGGTTGGAAACTGGGGGGGGGGGGGGGGGGGGGGGGCAGCCTGAATCTTAGGGCATGCCCACGTGATGTGATATAATGAAGCCTTTTCGGTGCACAGGGGACATTTGTTTGTGGGGTATACTGTAGGGTAAATGGCATGTAAGAGGCTGAGGTGGGGGAAAGTATTTGTTTGTACCATGCGCCAACCTACAGCGTCCTCCCTCGTTAGAGATTTGTGCGACGGAGGAAGAATGCGGCGACTCAATCGGAGATGTTGGATGATGTCACGATAGGTAAGGGGGATCGGGATGGGGACCAGGGATGGGTCTTCCTGCAGTGGCGGAGCCCGGACAGTTAAAGCTCGGGCTGACCCGTGTGCGCGTTCGTTGCCACTCAGGGAATTATGCCCCGGCGTCCATATCAAGGATAATGTAGGGAGTTGTTCAGGGGTGTGAGTTAAAATTCGATGAGCAAAGCTTGAGAGGCGACCATTGCCGAAACTACGGCAAGCCGCCTGTGAGTCAGCAATTATTGAAAGAGATGTGAAAGCCGGGGGTGGACGTGATAGCGAGCGCTATCGCCGCTTCTTCTGCCTCGAGTGGGAGGGATGTAGGAACGGTCGCGGATGGTCATTTCCCGCATGTCTTCATCGATTACGCTGACGGCCATGGCCAGTTAACCCGGGTAACTGGCGGCGTCAGTGTATCTGACGTGGCGGGTATTTTGAAGTTTCTTCTGAAGAACGCGGGCGCGAGCCTGTCGTCTCTCTGATGGAACTCGGGGTGCATGTTTTTGGGTACTGGGGCAACAGAAATTTTGGTGCGATAAACAACAGTGAGGGGAATTGTTTACCTGTGGCCCAAGGCTTGAATCGGATAGCCCAGACGAGTTTGAACCTGCCTGCCTGCAGGTGTTAACTTGAGACGCTCGCGTTGATCTATGAGGTGTGCTTCAATGTGCTCTTCGACGGTATTGTGAATGCCGGGAGACAAGAGACGTGGTGTCGAGGTGCCGAGTGGAAAACCGAGGGCTTGTTTATAAGACCGGCGAATTAGTGCTTCGAGTTTTTCTCGTTACCGAGACTTAAGGGTCAAATAGGGGACA